TTAATTTTGACGTAACTACTCACCAACTAGTTACATACATAATCGCAAAGCTGTCTCTTATACACATCTAGATGTGTATAAGAGACAGATATAGTATTTATTTAATTTCTTTCTTATAACAATATTTAGCAATTTTTTTTTTAATTTCAAAAATAAGAAAATGTTTAATTATTAATTTTGATAAAATTTTCATCTTATAATTTCATTAAATCATATTTCGAACATTTTCTATTTTAGATTTAATAATTTAAACTAATGCCATACCAAGTAGGTGAAAAAACCCAAAAATGTTCAATTAATTTTAACAAATTTTTCATGTTATAATTTTAATAAAAAATTTTTAAATTTGTTTTATTTATTTTTATTTTTGGTTCCATAATTATATCTATTGTTGCTTTTCCAAATTATTAAACGCTGGCAACTAATTTATTGTAATTTGTACTATTAAACTAAAATCACATATTATACAATAGATATCTGTCTCTTATACACATCTAGATGTGTATGTTATTATATTATTATATTATATTGCGTTTAAACTTTTGCTTCGTCAGAAATAAAAGAAAATTCTGTGCTATATACAGTTTAGAGTTGACAGAGTCATCAGTTGTTGCAGCGTTGTTGTATGCAGCGCTTTTCTGTTTACAAAAAAAGAAAATAAAAAGGGAAGCAGGCAGCTGAAAATTATGGATAKCTAGAAGAAATATATAATATTATTATGAGTAAATTAAATATATAATATAAAGTTGTTTGTAGCCTAAAAATTTGGAAAAAACATCTTTAGGGGAGAGAAAATACGAAATTGAACTATGTGTTTCTGTAAGCAAAATATAACGGCAATGATTAAATAACTTTAGTGAAATTAAATAAAATACTAGATAAATAAAAAGTCATAAAATATTCAACAAAACCAGTAGAAAAAAATATGAAAATATTTAACAAAAATAAACGATTTATTTCAAAAAATGCATAAATATAACCGAAAAATGTTAAAAATTCAAAAAAATAAATCAATAAAAAAATAATGCATAAAAAATCAATAAATAAAAAATTAAAAAATAGTTTATACAAAAAACATAACTGTCTCTTATACACATCTAGATGTGTATAAGAGACAGGTTAGTAAGTCAGTCAGTCAGTTGGCCTCAGCCT